CATAGATTCTCCACTGGTACAACAAGCCAATGCCCAAGCACTGATGGTGATGCTCAAGTTGGTTCCTACAGCGCTACTTCAAGTTCACGCTGAAGAATTCAAATCGCGCACTCTGCGCACGGTCTCTGACTGCTGCATGAGCAATGACGTAGGTAGTTCGATAATGCTGCAATTCTTACTTATTGCACAGTAAGTAGAAAGATGCCCAAACCCAATTATTTCGAGTCCCGGTTTCTTGTTATTTGTGCTCACGAAATGTGGGATTGTACGTGCTTACACAAATGCGCTTTTGCAGATCGGTGTCCGTCAAGCAGGCTTGCGTGCTCTCGGTTTCTCGTTGGCCGCATCACTTGAAGCGTCTGCCGCGGAAGAGGACGTTGCCATGCAAGTTCAACTCTTGGCTCGAGTGCGTTTCATTTCGTCTATTCGTTCTTTTGCGTAAAGTGCAGCTCTTGAATTTGGCTTGTGATTGTCCCCCTGGCAATAATCAGAGAACCGTGACATATCTTGCACAGAATTGGGTTGCTTCAAAATGTTGTTTTAAAGTCCTGCCAAAACACATGCGGACGCTCTCTGAGGTTTACTGTAGTGCGATGTTATGCACAGTCTGCATAATCAACAAGGGCAGGATAGGACCACGCACCCTAACACGCTCTCTAAAACTAGGTGTTGAGAACATATTCCATGATTTCAACCACTTTTGCCTCATAAATGGGTTATGGTTACTTTGTCTTTGGTTTGGAGGCATAATTTCGTTAGTGCAATCGCACTTGGCGGGCCATCGTTTTCCACAACTTGCAATGGACACCTTCATGTCTGTTGCAGAGTTTCAAACTAGACCTCGCGGAGGACCGTGTTTTGGCGGCGAACGTCGCTTGTTATGTGGCCAGTCAACTGAAATTCCGTGACAGCAGTGGGGCTCCGCCGAAGTGGCTGCTCTCCTTCGTTGGTCTTATCGCCTCCGCCACTAAGGACAAGAACTTGAATGTCTGTGCAGCCGCAGAGGAAGCAATAGTTTCTCTTTGTCGGATTGGAACGCACGGCGGTGACAAAAATGAGGTCTATTCGGTAAGTTTAACCTTCTAAATTGGTCAAAGTTTGTGGTCAAAATTTTAGCTTCATTCTTTTAACACCCAAACGCAGTCATTTGTACGGTCGCTGAAGTTTTTTCCTGGGTTTCACACATTGGAACTTACAGCACATAAAAAAATTAAGAACCACCGCCAGTTTCTGAGGCCATAAGCATGAAAATTGTTGGACCACAGTTGGGATATCACTTGAAATCAAATTATGACCACCTTAAGCGATCGAAAACACATCATACTAAGATACGTTACTAAGTGACTAAAGTCCCTATGTAACATCGAGAGAAATGAGCAGGAAAAGTACATCCTGTTAACGTCTTAATGTGTTCAATAGGCACTACATGATTCATGACAGCACGTAACACTTGCAAAGACGCCTCTTATTCGAGGGTTGCGCATGGACACAGTTCAAATGTCCAACCGTTAACAGGAAAATTGCATACGATGATGCCTTCTAACAAAACGCATTTTTTTCTAACAAAACCTTTATGGTTTATTATCGTAGCTTTGCCTTAACTGTCTGGATCCTGGAAAAAGGAACCTCCTTGAAGAAGTTGTTGGAAGATTAAAGAAGCAGTCATGGACACAATTTTGGTTGCGAGGCCCTCTGGACATCGATAACACCATTATGGAGGCGTAATATTCTTTCAGCCTTGTGAAAACCTCAGTCTCACCAGTTATTTTACATTTTCAACGCTTTAATACATTTACTGCCGGATTAACATGTTTGGTTCTGTTTGTGGCCAGTAGGAGGGGCAATTTTGAATGTTTGAGAACCACGGCCAGCCTAAGGATTGTCGCGGACCAATGTGCAGTGGCCCTGTCGCCTTGTTGGGCTACTTGTCTACCCATGCTTGAATGAAATTAGTAGAAATTGTTGTGCTGCTACACCCGGAACTTCACTGAATCCCATTACAGCGGAAAGTGGTTGTTTCGGGACGCTTCAGTAAAGTGTGTTTGTCATTGGTAGATCCATTGCCTAAGGTTTGTCACTGGGACCTTCCATGCTAAGATAAGGAACGCAAACTGGTTTATATAGAATATATTTTGTGTCGAGCGTTAATTTAGCGTCAGCACTTGGTGGTTGAACTTCTAGAAGGTCCTAAGCATAGAACGCATAGATGGGGAAGCTTTTGTCATAATGAATACTTAGAAAATAATTTTAAGGAAGGTATGAGAGGACAGGAAATGAGCCCGTTATTTCAACTGTCACCGTTCACTTGAAATCAACGTTGCACCGAAGTGATTGCTAACGATGGTCTTTAGCTGCACAAGTCATCGACGAGAGAACCAGCCGAAAAACCGGGTATGGTTGCTGTGATACTTAAGAAAATCAGACCGAGAATGCTTCTCATTATACTGGGCTCTTATGCATATTGCTATTGTCAAAAACCTTTCAGCCAAATAATTTTCAACAAAGTTCTGAGCGCACACGGCAGGATTTGTCATATTACTAAAGATGATGCTGTTCACGGACCACCCACAACAGATTCGCTACGTACGTTTCGAAACCCCTACGTTTGCACGCTGATTAAACCCGCTTCTAGTGGTCAGTAATTTTGAGCTAAGTTCGATGTCAGAGACCACCAGCACAATTTGCTCTGACAACCAAATCTATCTACTTCTATACCCTCAACATTAACCTACTCCCGTTGTCTACGATACTACCGCTCTCGGATGCGTATCTACAGAGAAGAAAACCGTCAATTAGTAAAGTACAGTTCGTAAATGCCCTTTCATTGCAACTATTTTACACATTTCTTGTCGGCGTGTGCAAATGGATGCAGGGCATGCACTCGACTTCCGCCATGCATCTCTGCACGATCCCGTACTAGCTAAGATCCAATTGGATCGCAATTCCCTTTTCATTTTTACAGAATTTTTCACATGAATTTACATTCAAAATATTATGAAGCACATAGAAAGGAGTAAAAACACGAATACTGAACGTCGAAGCCACTAAAGAATTTCTTTTTCTCTCATTTTGTTCTTCGCTTCTTCAATCACCTCCTTGAGCGGCTTGTCATCACTGCCCCCTTTTAGCCTGAGGTGCGGTTTCGCCCAGGAAACCTTCTCCAGCCAATCTGGCACCAATGTCAGCAGGCCCTCAATTCGACTTGTCGCCTCATCTAATTGAACAGTGATAATAACAATAACGAGATTACTTGGAGTTGTAGCTGTGACGTGCACCAAGTCATGTAAAAGGTGAGGTATACCACTACTGCCTTGAACAACACCTAGTGTGGGAAATGGACACAAAAATAAGAGGCAACTTAATCTAACTATAATTGAGTTATTTACAGCATTAAAAATAAAGCTACATCCGTTAAAACTAAGAAGATATTGAAGTTACCGCTCCACCGAATAAATCAAGTGCTGACAGAAGTTTGATTATTTAAATGGGACTAGTATGCTCCTAAAACTACAAGTGCGAAAATTTGGCCCACACAGACACAAGGATGACAAAAAAATACTACTAAAATTTTCGAATTTGACGTAGTGAGGGCTCAATGCTTTAGTTAAAAATGAGGACCGGCTAAAAAGAAGTCGGTTTTGGTGGACCGTGAACTCACCCAGTGGTAAACCAGATCCGCTTGACTGAGAAAGACGTGTGGCGACGGTGGCTAAGGGAATTGGACGTCCCCCTGCCGTGCGCAATTCACGCCAAACTTGAGTGATGGTAGTCGGAAGAGCAGAGTAGGCAGCCATTTCTGAGGCCGAAACTGGTGGGCGTGTGAGAATTGATAACTGCATTTGTTTTTCGCGCTCACGTACCTGAAGGAAGAGTGAAAAGCAGCGGCTTAAAGAAACTGCACGTATCTAAAGTGTCGGCAAAAAATTAGAAAAATTCGGATTGTACAATGGAGACCGCAGACTATATCAAGAGAATTGACGTTGACTACGGGCACGTGGTGGCTTGAAGATCGACCCACTCAACAACATGGCAATCAGCGAACAAATAACCCCACTGAACGACTATATATTGAGCTTTTATCGTGAGAACAACAACAGAATGAGAGCCCGTCACACGCATGAGAATAAGAACTGAGACAACTAACAACTACAATATGGTAAAGGAAATAAGGATAGTACTGTTCACCAGTAAAGTCCTGATGGGGGAATCCAATCGGAGTAAAGGTAACTGGAACAGATGGCAACTGTGCTGTACAGAGGCCTCTAGGAGCGGTGTAACCTGCATGAGCAAGCACATTTTCTTTGCAAGGAACCTTCATTTGCAAATAACATTATTTAGAGAAGACTACTTGAAGCGCGGTGCTTTGATGATTGATTGAACACGGCGGAAATAAGCGTCTGAATTATGCGACGGGGGACCGCGATAAGTTAACGCTACGAATTAGCCCATCATGTCAATCACAAAAATGCATGCAAATACGGGCGGATGCACTGATCAAGGGAGGCTGTCTGAACGTATTCATGTTCTGCCATAAATATTTTAGCTGTTGAATGTACATCGAAAATACCCGTTTCAAGTGGTAAATCAAGCCCGTAAGTCATTTAAAATTCAGTATAGGTTGCTGGATCTCAATAAATATCAGTATTTTTACGGTCCCAGCAAACAAAACGAAACGCTGGGTTTTTTTAACGTAAGTTACGGTGATTGAGCAACCAAAAGAAAGGGACGAGATACATCTAGTGCCGCATTTAAACGGCGAAAGCAACAACTGCAGAAATCTAGTATCACACAACTCCTTTTCGCTATAAAGCACTCGCAAGAAGTCATACTAAGTTCTTACTCTGGCCAGCAGCGACGCCGAAACGCCTTTTAAAACGGATGAGTAAGACGACGATTTCGTGGAAGACTCTATTGTCTCCTTTTCGTTACACGTGGATGTTGACGGCATGGTTACAAGCTTCTCGCATACATTCGCTTCTCGAAATAGTGCGCGAGCTCGAAATGCGGCTACGGCTTCACGTGCCGATGTAATTCTAGCGTCGCGACCAGAGGACGCTGGTCGAGGAGGCAAAGGGGCGGGTTCTACTTCAGGAACAGCTGTGTCCAACGCAAAGGAGGGGTGCCAACGACGGAGGGCGGAGTCTCCCGGTAGGTCGCTCTCTGACACACCGAGGCGAGAAATAAGAAAGGCCTAGCACGGAAAGAAGGAAAACTTAAGAAAAGGACAGGTAAATGAGTCAAGAACCCACCAGTTACACGTAATTAGTGTGCAACCAACATTTAAGATGCTGTCCCACCTAAAATTTACTAAAAAAATTGGGAAAAGAAACTAAATTAGAATCCGACTACAACACCAGGTTTGTCAGAAGGATACTTACAGATGCTGTTGCAAGACGGAACTGACATTAGAATACACTGAGCCAATAATAAGTTACTTACACGAGCAAATCCCAAAAATAAAAGCGCAAGCCTACCCGGTGTGCCTTCAGGACTCGTGCTAGAAGGGATTTGTGGAAAATATGACGTCGTTGAATGAGACGAGTACCGGTAAAAACGAGATGACCTTTTGAGGGAGAGTCGCGAGCCATCTGAGTGTTGTCTACAGAATAACAAGACGAATTCTACTTACCGGTCCGAAGATTGGGGACCAACACGAGCGTGTATGTGCTCAGCACCAGTTTAGTTAGCTTATCCAATTGGTTGTCATATCGAAACTTATAAGCCTGGGGATAGACAGCCGCGAATTTTCCAACTGTTTCCTCGGTGAATTCACTTAAGAGAAAAATCAATGGGCTTAAAGAGAATACCTACCAGCGCACTACTTCCTGAACAGCGGGTTTTATCTTGTCGAAGCTGCAAACCTCAGACCGATTGTGAAGCGTACTAACGATTGTTTCGCATGTCCTGAAGAGTTCCAAAAGCCGCTCCATGTGGTAAGGCAGATGCAAAGCAGGGGAAACCGGAGATAAGGTTAAAACGTCCGTTTTAGCTTTTTTAGCAATCGAAGCCACTTGCTTGATACCAATACTAGCCTCTTTATTGGGAGTACTGGGCTGACTAACAGATTTAGTTAAAGCCTGTAGTTCTTTTGTTGGCGTACCGTGATGCAATAAGCCAATAACTGCTGAGTTCTGAGAACAGGCAGCAGATTTATTCGACGCGACACAATGTAAGCTTCCAAAACTTGATGTTTCGGGCGTTTCGGGGATCGTGGTTTCCACTTTAAATGAGTGCTCTCCATATGACTCTTTGGCGTTAATATTCTGATCCTGTTGAGAAAATCCATTATCAGGTTCAGCATCTCGAAGAGTTGATTTAATTATTGTACTAGACTCTGTAACATCCGTCAATTTATCGGTTTCATTCTGAGCCAGGTAAGCAAAACGTTTGTGTGCGGGTAATTTCCGACGCTTTGGATTTGATTCTGTCGCAGCACTAAGGGTCGTAACCTAAAAAGTGGGAAACATTAATACCACTTTAATAACACAGGTAGTGTACAATTAACAACAGCGAAGCCATATATTAGCTGTCAACTTTGAAAAAGTGCAATTGTTCCAATCCTCATACCGCAATTAAGATACCAAAATTCATTCCTAAATATAAGTTTGGAAAAACAGACTACATTGTTGACGAGTAATAGGACCAGACCAACTATATGAGTGCATTATAATTCAAGACATAACCGCCTAGATTTGGTCTGTCTACAGCATTACCCATACGAAAGGAAAAACAACAAAATTAACAAAAAACTTGCGTTCTCAAATTCATTTTTTTGATGAGGGACACCAACCGGGACATCATTCACAATTTTTGAAGATGAACTTGTCGACGTAGGAAATACCGCGCTTCCCGTCGATGAGGAAGACACCCTGGGCTTTAGCAACTTTGCTTGCACTTCTGGTTCATCTAACACGTTTTTAGACCTCTTGACGGAAGCACGTGAGGAATCCCGCCTCACAGCGAAAAAATTTGTCAGCCGCGTCGACATAACCCGAAAGAAACCCCACTTAAAAGTCCCGATATTTCAAATACTGTATTTATTGATATAGTCAAACACACTTTTAGCAAACCAAGGGATTTAGTACACCACTAACCAAAACAAATTTTATTGTTATATGACTACATTTAAAAAAATTATCGTAAATAATTTATTATTTTACGTATATTATTCTTACTGATTTAGGATAGCATAGTACTAGAATTGATGCTTCTTGGTGGAAAAATACAACGATAGCGTGGAGAATTAAAATGTGCTGACAATACAAAGTTTGTAGAAAAAGGGGTTTTGATTGTTTTGTGGCCAAAAAAACACTAAGAGGCATTGGAAACTGGGATATTATTTTCAGTCACAGTTAGACTAAATTGAGAGTCAGTTTTTTAAAGCTTTACATTTAAACTTGGGCGTGGAATGGGGTTACTCAATATGTTACACTCAAATACAGGGTAGCAATGGCTCAATCACTAATCTGTGAGCCAAGGTTTTGTTGAAATGAGTTTTGACGACGGTTCATTATTCTAGCTACTCCTTAACTATCTGGATCCTGGAAAAAGGAACCTCCTTGAAGAAGTTATTCGAAGTTTAAAGAAGCAGTCATGGATCCACTTTTGGCTGCGAGGCACTCTGGAGATCGATAAAACCATTTTGGAGGTGTAATACTTTTTCAGCCTTGTGAAAACCTTACAGTCTCACCAGCTATTTTACATTTTCAACGCTTTAATATATTTCCTGCCAGATTAACATTTTTGGTTCCGCTTGTAGCGATTATGAGGGACAATTTTGAGAACTATGGCACTTTATACTAACCTGAAGATTGTCGCCGACCAATATACAGCGGCCATGTCACCTGGTTGGATTACTGGTCTACCGATCCCCAAGGTTTGTCTCTGAGACCTTTAATATTGAAATGATGAGTGTAAACTGGTCTTTGCAGAATGCGGTCAATTTCGCTTATCAGTTCTAAAAGTCTTTACATTAATTGGCTTTTGAAGCATAATCCAACACATGGAAATGAGTAGAATTACGAAGAAGGGAAGCTGTTCCGACACCAATGTTTTCGGTTCTCTTCAGTATTTGTCATTTACAATCCCGTCAGTACCTTTTTTGGTTCAATTACATGATTGCAAAATTTTTAAAGCCATATACAAAAGACTTAGTATTTATAGTATGCAATAGTTATCATGCTGGTTGTTTTACATTCCAATATGTTTTCGATCAAAGTTGCTCTCTAGATTTTTGCTGCTAGTGTTTTTAAACCGTTTTTGGTGACAGCTGTGTAGAAATATAGAGGAACGTTTTATAGCTGTTACTGATGCCTGTACGAAAGCCATCCTTTATTGTGACTGAAACTATTGTTACAACTTTTTGCTTATGTGTTAACCAATAATGTAGACATATATCTGTAGGTCTACCCACATTACGAAGGCGAGCTGCTTAAAGGCAGTATTATTAAATAAATGACAAAAACGTGACCCTTCCACTGAATTATTTGTACTTGAAAATGGTGACGTTTTAAGCTACAAGGGAGGTTACTCATGTGTATATTAGTTCTTAGACATCCAAATACTTTGAGATGTTTATATTGCGATGCAGGCAGCAAATAATGACATACACTCCAGAGGTAAACTGAAGCTAGGCCATCTGATGAACAATTGTAACTCATTTTACGTGCATCAATTGTTAGAACACTTGGCACAAAATGTACACCAATATAATGCACATTTCAAGACAATGTTTGCTGATTTCGAATCGTCTGAGTCTGCAACTTTTGACTAGCTGTATTTCGTTCTAGGAAACTCACCTGACCCATCAATAAGAACAAGTGAATCAGGCTTCAACAAGTAGCACATTATTTCTATTAAGGTGAAGCAATCTCAATAATTAGGATACAAAAAATATCATGTCTAGGTGCTAATGTATCAGTGACATGTAAATGATGTCACCAAACCTGAAAGTTCGGAATGAACATGGCGTAATTAGAATTAGGATCAAAGGGGTTCAGTGATATGTCATAAATAAGTCCCATCCAGCTATTGACACGGTATGATTAGGTAACTTTTTTAATTAAAATTGATTCACTTTAGAGTGAAAGTTTGTGTGACTCTGTGAGACTAGGAAGAATACAGTATTTCTTGCATTCATTGTTCCCAAATTCACCTTGAACCGCACTTCTCTAATCACGTGGGATTTCATAATTAGCAGTGCCGAACTATCCCGGAGCGTTTTAACAGGATAGAAGGAAACGAAAAATAATACAACCAACGTTATCAAGGGAAATAAAAAAAGTGCTTGTTGATTAGATGAAGAGTTTCCGGTAGATAATAACGAAAAAATTGTGGAAAACATGAGCTTACGTTCAACATGATAGGTCTTTCTAGCGCTTAAATCTTTTCAATTCAAAAATAGCACTAAGATTACCTTCAATTCACGTATAGCTGGATGTAAAGAAACCAAATATAGTCTATTAGTAACATCACTGCTTGATAACCTAATTGTTAGTTTTGGTTTCAATTTGAGGACTCATCTTTTATCTACATCATCTTGTTCATCGTCTAGCGGCGTGGCACTGATAACTGATGCACAAAAGGATCTTAATTTGACCCTACTTTTTCAAGAAGAAAGATTTAAAAAGGCAATTTGTTCTCAATCTTTATTCATTTGCAAAATATCGACAAAACAACGGAGTGTTGCTGTCGTTTTCATCCCCAAAGTAGGTAACTTCAATTTCAGCCCCTTCAGTTAAGCCCATATCCAATGCATTGTAAACCTGAAAGTAAAGGTCAAGTGCTTTCAGAAAATCGAGTTTCCATGGTTGTTCATTCATAAACAGCAGGACAACATCCCAAATGGTCTGTGTCCATTATTCTGCACCATCAGTTTGGCAAACTAAATTGGTTTCGGAAGTAATTTAAGTATAAACTGGTAACTTTAGTCTTGACTTGCAACGTGAACGCTTCTTCAGGCCATGACCTTTGTCACTAGGTCAGATATCTTGTTAGTAAAACGAATTCATTTGACTGAAAATGTGGTTACATATGTAAATGGGGCGTGTCTTGTCCAAGATTTGTTATCAGGAACCTACATGACAAAACATCTGTTGACCTATTAGTAATGTGATTGTTAATGATATCGCGATTTCCAAGAATAATGTAAGCCATACCAAAAATTGTTAGTTAAAACTAGGTAAAACATTAATCAATCATAATTTAAAAGTAATTATCTTCTTCCCACCTTTAGGGGGTCCGTGTGCAGTTGATTGTTTGGAATAAAGAAGTGCTCTGGTCTGTTACCTATTGTTACCGAGACTCCATTTCGCCTAAACCACAAAGAACAGATTAAAGCCACATGAGTCCTAAATGTGCGACTCATTAAAATAACTAGCATGTGTTTAAATAGAGAGGTTAGAGTACTAGTCCAAAGTTACAAAATAAGTGTGTAATAAACCTCTTGGATCTTCTGAAAAACAAACCCTGACGCTTCATATGTGTGCTGCCATGGCCCGTAATTTTAACGACTCTTTAAATTTATAACTTTAAAAATTCATGTGACAAATCTCGCTAAAAAATCACTTTGTACATTCCACATTGTGGCATTATGTCATTTGTATTCTTGCTTTAGGTAAACTTTAGGCAAACTGTGATGATTTGTTGCAGAACCATAGCGCTATTACCAGAATTCCATGGAATATGAGCTCAAGGTCCCAAGCCTCAATCGGAACCTATTTTAGAACAAAGGCTCGCGTGAACTTTCTGATCCCTCTTTAAAGTTTTCGAGAATGTTGGTTGCGAAACCTAAACTTAAGCCGAAACTCTAGATCAAAAAATTACAATATTTGCTCTCACTACTCGTTGATACACTCCTATCACGTTTTGTATTGTTCCTTGTTGCGACACTAACCAGATTTCAATTAAGCTAAGGCGTGACTGGCAAAATCAGTATTATAAAGATTTAAGTAGGGATTTTAATGGACATGGATGAGTAGTTTCTTGCCCTATTTACGTTAGAATTAAAACTTCTAAGAGGCGTATTAAATCAAGAACCAGCAACATGTTCTAAGATTTATCGAAAATGGTTGAAGAAGAAGATCATATAAGTATTAAACTGGGCAGTAGTAGTAGATATGATTAACGAGTTCTTGCCAAACTACCTTCCGAAATGAGCTGAGATTACAAAATTTTCATTTTTTTTCATTTTTTATCAATTTCACATTCCTTACTTGATGGCGACTATTTTTGCCGTGTAATGTCTACCTTGAACAAGCGGAGTGAGGTCCTAAAAATAACAGGTCACAGTTAGTTCAATTTTTGTGATTAATTAACTGCTGCTAACCAAAATAAAAGACTACTTGTAAGGTAACAGTGAGACTTATCCAAGCAAAAATGCACCCACTAGGTAGTAAGACTCTGTAATACATAGCAGGTACTAAGTGGAAGTAACAATTAAACTATTAATAAATGCATTTAATGTACAGAAAATAAAAACTTGTAAACACTAATGAACGAAAAAATATATAACTACCAACATACTTTAGCTTCTCGTTCACCTAAGATGCGCCTGACGAGCACTTCGAGACCCATCAAAATGAACGACGTGACGATGCCGATAAGCAAGAAAATGTAAGTACTAGCATTGTCAGCTAAGTCAAGCACGGATGGCATTGGAATTTTGTAATTTGGATGGTAACATCGTCCAGTCATGAAGTACCTAGACCGAAAAGTTAAAATTAATAAACAGCGATGTATCACATTTTGTATTTAAGTGGGGGATGTGATCAGAAAATAAATCAAGTTCTAACATCAAATCTATGACCAAACCCTTTGCTTATGCAACACATCAATTAGTTGGCATGGAAAGCATCATTTCTCTTTGTGGTCTACTATCTAAATGATTCTGTTCATCCTCTGTTTTCTCTATTGTTGAGCATAATTATTAAATAAAGAGACGAATGCACTAGATTCGAGAAAAATGGAGACACCTATAATATCACAAAG